CGCCCGGAGCCGTCAGGAGCAGGCGGCCCTGCAGTCTGAGTGCCATCCTGGCTGCACCTCCCCCTGCCCTGTGCACAGGGCCAAGTCTGAGGCTCTTGGCGTCTGTTCTTGTCCTGGTGAAGTGAATTCGGCCAACGGCCAGCGTTTTCTGATTTCCTGCCTCTCAGATTCCCCGCTCTGACCGCACAGTGGGACCTTCCTGGCCACCTGGTCTCGGAGCCTCCCCAGGTCTCCCGTCCGCTGGTCTGTTTCTTTTCTCCCCACCTGACCACACTGGTGGTTTGGGCGCCCTCTCAGCCAGAGCAGCCTTGATGTGCCCGAGCGCCTGCTGAGCCAGCCTGACCCGCCTGCTTTCCTCCCCGCGCCTGCCCTCGAGCTGCCTGAGGGGCTGGAGGAGGCAGGAGACTGACGGCCATTGCCTTTGCAAATCCCGGACACGGCTGCCCCATTCAGCGCACTAAGGGCGGACATCCAGACAGACCCCCGAGTCCTCTCAGTTCCCCCCCGTTTTTACTCTATTTCCGACTTTCCTCGCCCCATCCTTGCTCTCAGAGAAGAACATTTGCACAAAGAAAATTAAAGCCATGGGTCTGCCGTTCCTTCAGCTTCCCACCACCTGGCATTCATGCTCACACTCTCCTTCCTCCTTCCCCTTCCCTTCCAGGACAGCGGAAGAGACTCTCTTCTGTCAGTAAAGGACACCCCTACCCCATAGTGTACCCCTTTTATCTTGAGTATTTCCCAACAGTCTCTTCTAGCCTCTTCCTTCCACATACAAACAGACTGAGGTCTCTGTCACCCTGAAAAGAAGCTCTGAACTCCATGCCCTCCCAGCTACTGCCGTCTCCCTGTCCACTCCCCTCACCCCAAGGCCAGACTGACTGAATTCAGCATCTCCATCACCTTTGCCTCCATGTTCTCACCGACTTTTCACCTCACCCTGCTCGGCCTTTCCACCTGTGATGGGGTTGAAATCACTCTAGCCAAGGTCATGAATGCTGATGGCATGAATTGCCCACCAAATGCTGTGGATATTTTTAGTAATTTTCTGACTCGACCTCTTGGCAGCCTTTACCTTGCTGACACTGTTCCTTTTGAAGCTGTCTCTTTCGGCTTTTGTGACATTTCACTTCTGAAGCTTCGCTTGCCTCTCTGCATGCTTCTTTGCCAACTCCTCTACCTGTGTTCAGCCAGGACCTCGGTCTCTTACTGTGCACTCTGTCCCCAGATGTCCTCACCCCACCTCAGCTTGAATTATCAGTAACTCTTCAATCTTTTTTTTTTTTTTTTTTTTTTTGAGAAAGAGTCTAGCTCTGTCACCCAGGCTGGAGTGCAGTGGTGCAATTTCAGCTCACTGCAACCTCTGCCTCCCAGATTCAAGCGATTCTCCTGCCTCAGACTCCCATGTAGCTGGGAATACATGTACCTACCAGCTAATTTTTGTATTTTCAGTAGAGACGGTGTTTCACTGTGCTGGCCAGGCTGGTCTCAAACTCCTGATTTTGTGATCCGCCCACTTTGGCCTCCCAAAGTGCCGGGATTACGAGCATGAGCCACCATGCCTGGCCACAGCATAAACACACTCAAACACCCACATAACACACACATATCATATACACTCTTACACACATTCACAGCAACTCACTCACGCAGCCATATGCACACATGCACTCACAAATCACACACCGTCAAAGCAGATATACCACATCCTCTTACAGACTCACACACATTTTCTTCTTTCTTTTTAATTTTTTTTTTGAGACAGAGTCTCAGTCATCCAGGCTGGAGTGCAGTGGCGTGATTTTGGGTCACTGCAACCTCTGCCTCGTGGGCTCAAGCCATTCTCCTGCCTCAGCCTCCCCAGTAGCTGGGTTACAGGTGCCGCCACCACACCTTGCTCACTTTTGTGTTTTTAGTAGGAACAGGCTGGTGTTGAACTCCTGACCTCAGGTGATCTGCCCGCCTTGGGCTCCCAAAGTGCTGGGATTACAAGCATGAGCCACTGTGCCTAGCCCAAATTTTCTTTTTTTATGTTTAAAAACTTTTAAATAGTTAAAAATTACATTTAATTGTCTTGTTACAATACTGCTCCTTGTGCTGGGCATGGTGGCTCATACCTGTAGTCTCAGCACTTTGGGAGGCCAAGGTGGGAGGAACACCTGAGGTCAGATGTTTGAGACCAGTGTCGCCAACATGCTGAAACTCCATCTCTACTAAAACACACACACACACACACACACACACACACACACACACACACATTAGCTGTGCGTGATAGCATGCACCTGTAATCTTAGCTACCTGGGAGGCTGAGACAAGAGAATTGCTTGAACCCAGGAGACAGAGGTTGCAGTGAGCTGAGACTGTGCCACCTGCACTCCAGCCTGGGTGACAGAGTGAGACTCTGCCTCAAAATAAATAAATAAATAAATAAATAAATTTAAATATTAAAATAATTTCTTTTTTATTTTTATTTTTTTGAGACAGAGTCTCGCTCAGCCACCCAGGCTGGAGTGCAGTGGCACAATCTCAGCTCACTGCAACCACTGTCTCCCAGGTTCAGGTGATTCTCCCGTCTCAGCCCCCTGAATATCTGGGTTTACAGGCACCCACCATCATGCCTGGCTAATTTTTGTATTTTAAGTAGAGACAGGATTTCACCATGTTGGCCAGACTGGTCTTGAACTCTTGACCTCAGGTGATCCACCTGCCTTGGCCTCCCAAAGTGCTAGGATTACAGCTGGGAGCCACGGGGCCTGGCCACATTTAATTTTCTTTTTACTGTACTGCTCCTTGTAGAGCAAGGCTAACACCTAGGCAGTATGTCCACAGTCAACCTCATACACATTTTCCTACACACATTCATGCACACTCATTCACACTCATTCACACACCCACGCCACACACTCCATACACTACACAGAGTATGTGTGGTACATAAGTGTGTACCACATTCACACACACCCCCACATCTCACACACACACACACACACACAGACCCACATGAGTTGGGGCTTTAATCGCACATCTGTTTCTGATTCCTGCAATCCCCGGGGCCAGGCATGTCTCTTCTACGTGTGGCATGCTCCTTTCCCCTTCACAGCCACTCGGCTGGGCGCACCCTAACCCTCAAAGCTTGACCATTTTGGGAGCTGGAAGATCTGAGGTGGTCCAAGGATTCCCTTAAGAATGAAACCTGAGAGGTGAGGGTTTGCTGGGTTAGCCGGGAAGTATGAAACCGGAGTCTAGAACAGGAAGTTTTCTTTTTCCCTTTCCTTTCTTTCTTTTTTTTCTTTTCTCTTTCTATCTCCTTCCCTTTCCCCTTTCCTTTCCTTTCTTTCATTAGAGACAGGGTCTTGCCCAGCTGCCCAAGCCGTAGTAGCCTCCACTCCCTGGGCTCAAGTGATCCTCCCACCTCAGTCTCAAGTACTAGGACTGCAGTCATGTACCACGATGCCTAGTGGACCGTGAAATTTCCTTTTATTTTTTGAGACAGAGTCTCACTCTGTCACCCAGGCTGGGGTACAGTGGGATGATCTCCGTTCACTGAAACCCCCATCCCCCAGGTTCAAGCAATTCTCCCACCTCAGCGTCCCGAGTAGCTGGGACTACAGGTGCCTGCCACTGTGCCCAGCTAATTTTTGTATCTTTAGTAGACACGGGGTTTCACCATGTTGGCCAGGCTGGTCCTGACATCAGGCAAACCACCTGCCTTGGCCTCCCAAAGTGCTGGGGTTACAGGTGTGAGCCGCCGTGCCAGGCCTGTTATTAGTTTTTGAGATGGAGTCTTGCACTGCCACCCAGGCTGGAGTGCAGTGGTGTCGTCTTGGCTCACTGCAAACTCCACCTCTTGGGTTCAAGCAATTCTCCTGCCTCAGCCTCCCCAGTAGCTGGGATTATAGGCACCCACCACCATGTCCTGCAAAGTTTTGTATTTTTCGTAGAGACAGGGTTTCGCCATGTTGCCCAAGCTGATCTCAAACTCCTGACCTCAGATGATCCACTCGCCTCAGCTTCCCAAAGTGCTGGGATTACAGGTGTGAGCCACTGTGCCTGGCCCCATGAGTATTATTTTTGTTACCCTGTCTGTTGTGTCTGTGTCATTAGAGGTGCAACATTTAAAGCTAGAGGGGTCTGTGTGCTTGTGATCAGGAAGGGGAACTGAAGACCAGCTCTGTGCTACATTCAGGTTGGGTGCCAGGGAACCCAGTGGGTAGGGAGCAGGGAATTAAGACAGGAGGGGAATGAGCACAAGCCTGAGGGGCTTTAGCCGCTGGAAAGACCGAAGTTATAAGTCAGAAACATGTCTAGTTTGGAGTGAGCCAAGTTCCAGTGATTCACTGGGCCTGGAGGATCTGGAGGGGATCTTGACTTCTAGAGGAGTGTTGAAGCTGCACCGTGGCTGGGCTGGCTGAGGGTGGAGGGGCGGGGCCTGGACCCAGACCCTGGGAGCAGCCTCGATTAAGATGAGCCGAGTGGGTGGACAACCTGGCTTGGGAACTCAGAAAGAGGGGCATGGAGACTCAAGGCTGTGAGTCTCAGATGCCATGCTGACGTGGAGAAGGACACGGCACCTAGGAAGCCACTTGTGGCCATTCTAGAGCAGCAGTGTCAGCGTTCATTGCCAAGCTGTAGAGGCTTCATTCAATAGGCAGAGACCAGAAAGAGCAGAGTTGTCCTCTCAGGGAAGGAGGAAGATCTTATACCTGATGGTGGACAGAGGAGAGGGCCAGGTAGGGAGGGCAAGGTACGGGCCTGTGATGGAGGCAGATCATTCATTGCAGGGGTGGGTGGGCCCTGAGCACCTGTGGAGAGGTCTGCCATGGTCAGGGGGGAATGCAGCCTTCTCCAGGGCAAGAAGCACATTGTATGGTGAGCCGAGCATGTTAGAGCAGAGAGGACAAGGAGGAGGGCACTCACTCCATGACTTCCTGAGACCTCTCCTCTCTGGTGCAGTCCCCCACTTCCCTCCCCACTGTCATTGGACCCAGGCCTCTTACCATTGCTCTGGCGTGAGGGAAGTCCTGCTGCTGCCTCACCAAGCCCACTCATGAATGCGCCGATGCCGAGCCCACCCGCCTGAGTCTTGATTGCGGACTTGAGCTCGTGATTCTCCCGAATGAGCAGCACCAGCTTCTTCAGTTCCTCGTTTTCCCGTACCAGCCTCTCTATCTGATGCCGAAGCCCCTCATAATTGGTGAGGAGAGACATGCCCCGGGGCGGCAGGAAGGGTGTGGTCCGTGGGAGGGTACTGCACCTAGAGGCTGCCCAGGGCCCTGGGCCTTGCCCAGGCTGAAGGAGGGTGCAGAGTCTGCAAGGCTGGCCCAGTGGGCCCTGGGTATTGTGAGGTCAGAGGCCACAGCCACCTCCTTCCCCTCTCTGCTCTAACACACTCAGCTCTCCATGCCACCAGGCTTGTGCACAGGTCTTGCCTTGGCCTGGATTGTCCTGCCCCTTTCTCTGTCTGGCCAACTTCATCCTCAAGGTGCCTCTCCTGTGAAGCTTCCTCTCCCCAACCTCAAGTTAACTGCCGCCCGCTGGGCTTCCCCAGCAGATGTGTCCTGTGCCCTAACACTCCCCCGGTTCCAGTCAGTGCTCCTTAATGCTCTCCACTGGCTTCACAGCGAGGCCAGCGATTGTGCCACTTTCTTGGAATCCCCGGTGTCCAGCAAAGGGCTTGGTACAACATATGTAGGTAGCCAGTAAACACTTGCTGAATGAAAACTCATCACCCCGGTCGGGCGTGGTGGCTCACGCTGTAATCCCAGCACTTTGGGAGGCCGAGGCGGGTGGATCACGAGGTCAAGAGATTGAGACCATCCTGGTCAACATGGTGAAACCCCATCTCTACTAAAAATACAAAAAATTAGCTGGGCATGGTGGCATGTGCCTGTAATCCCAGCTACTCGGGAGGCTGAGGCAGGAGAATTGCCTGATCCCAGGAGGCGGAGGTTGCGGTGCGCCATTGCACTCCAGCCTGGGCAACAAGAGCGAAACTCCGTCTCAAAAAGAAAACTCACCGTCCCACCTTCCTGGCTGGGGTGCCCCTTCCTTACAATCTTGCACATACCTGGGTTTGGCCTCTCAGCCTTTTCCTGGGATGCGGTGTCTTCAAGGCCTGGACACTGGCCCATGACTTCTTCTGACCCAGGTGCTCAGCGTTTTTATCTTCCTGTTGGAGTTTCCATTTCTGGTGACTCGGGGTTACCTATTCCAAATCCCCCATTGGTGCCTTCTCTGCCCTTGGATCTCTGTTGTCTAGCTCCTTGAATTTTTCTGACTATAGTCCTTCAAGAACCCAAGACTGCATTCCTCACTCGGTCCTAAGAACTCAGGACTCGGTCCTCATGATGCTCCCCTTCTCTTAGAGCTACCTACAGAGAACTCTGTGGGCCTGACCTTGAGTACTGAGTGAGGTCATGTCCTCATGACCTCCACTGGCTCTGTGGCTGTTCTCTTTCAAACCTCTTTTTGGGCCAGGGAGAGGTAGCAAAGTTCAGGTACAGGCTAGAGGGCAGACTCCTGGAGAGTGTGGGGAGGAGGAAGGGGAAAAATACCAGCTAGGGCTCGGGGCAGTCTGAGTTGAGCATTCTACGTAGACCTCACAATGGGGGCCTACTCTGCCCTTGGATCTCTGTTGCCACCCCTCTTCTGATGCTTCCGTCTGTAATCCTGGCTGAGTCCTCTGGCCCTGGGGCCCTGAGCCCCCAGAAACCAGAGTTGAGGTCTCTTCAGTTACCCCTCTAACTTCGTAGAGTGTCTCTGCTGGGCTTTCCTTCAACATGTGAAAATTAGCTTATCATGTGCTTATTCCACGCTTGGTTGATGCAGTCTGGGATGGTTACATTTCATGTGTCAGTTTTCTAGGCTACAGTGGCCGGGTGTGGGGTAAAAAATCTAGATAGACATTGCTGTGAAACTTATCTACTTGTAGCTGTTAACCACGTCTATTGATAGCCACAGGACACTGACTGTAAGTAAAGGGGATGACCTTCAGTCATTTGGGGGAGCCTCGTCCATTCACTTCTTTAAATTTCCTTTTTACTTTTTAATTTTGTTTATTTGTTTTTTGAGGCAAGATTTCAGTCTGTTGCCCAGGCTGCAATGCAGTGACGCCATCATACCTCACTGTAGCCTTGGCCTGCCATCCAAGTAGCTGAGACTACAGGTGTGTGCCACCACACTCGGCTAATTTTTATTAAAAACTTTTTTTTTTAGAGATGAGAGTCTCAGTACATTGCCCAGGCTGCTCTCAAACTTCTGGGCTGAAGCAATCCTCCTGCCTCAGCCTCCCAAAGTGCTAGGATTGCAGGTGTGAGCTACCATGCCTGGCAGAAGAAGTTAAGAGTGAAGAAAATCCTGAAGTTTTCTGGAAAAGAAGGAATTCTGTGTGAAGATTGTAGCACAGAAATCCCGCCCGAGTCTGCAGCCTGCCCTACAGATTTCGGACTTGCCCGTCCCCACAATTACGTGACCAAGCCCTCACATCTCCTAATGTAAAGGGACTCTGGATGGTACACCATCTGTACTTCCCTTTGTATACGCCACTGTTCTTTCCTGCCGAAATAGATGCTGAGCAGGAACTGTGGCGGGCATTGTGTTAGGAACTGGGGGTTCAGTGCTAGTCAGAGCAGGCATTGTCCCCAACTTACCAACTTTAGCATCTAGTGGGGAGTGGCTGTGAACGGAACGATCACACGTAGATGTGGAGTTTCCCCTGTGATGCATGCTGCTGGGAGAGGCGCTGGTGCTGGGAGAGGGTGCAGCAGGTTGGGCAGATCGAATCAGGGAGTGTGCTCCTCCGAAGAAACCAGGTGTGGTGGAGCAAGGACGAGCGGCGCAGAGTATGTGCTGGGGAGGAGTGGAGGGCCTAGGTCGGGATCTTGGGTGGTCTTCATCCTAAGGCCTTGGGAAGCCCTTGCTTCAGGCCCTGAAGGAAGGATGCGTGGGAACAGATCGGAGGGAAGAAGCTCTGAGCGGCACACAGTAGGCAGGCGGCTGCAGTGGTCCAAGCAGGTGGTGAGGGTGGCGGGTTCACAGGTGGTGCAGCGGAGGTGGAGAGGCTGGGCGGAGCTGAGAAACACGTAGTGGAGCTGGAGTTGGCTTGGATGTGGGGATGAAGGTGAGAGTGAGAGCAGGATGGCCTTGCAGCTTCCGGTGTGGGTGATGGAGCCGCTGGTTATACCAACCCAATAGGGAGGAAGACCTAGTTGAGAGCGAATACTGGGAGTCAGGTTTGGATGTGTTGCTGAGATCAGGATGTCAAGACACTGTGCCAGGAGGCAGGGGTTCACTGCTCCAAGTCCCAGCAGAGAGCCTACCGCTTGGGATGGAAAGATACACGTCAGAGGTATCAGCTCCTAGATGGCAACTGGAGCCGTATGAGTGCATGAGGTTGCCCAGGAATAGGAAACAAATGAGAGAACCAGCCCTCAGCCCACTGTTCCTCGCAGAGCCAGAACAAAGCTACAGAGGTCATAGAGCAGAAGTGCCCATAGCGACCGGAAAACCTGGATGGTTGGCCTCGAGAAGCTGCAGCAGAGGCGGTATCCAGTGAGGCTGAGGGTCACATGAGACCAGCACTGAAAAAGTGTGCCTCAGCTTTAGGGACTTGGCAGTCCCTGGTGACATATCAAGGGCTGTTTCGGTGAAGCTGTTTGGCCAACTCCAGATTCCCAAGTCTGAGAAGTGAGTGGGAGGGTAAGGTGGAGGTAAGGCACACACAGCCCTCGCAGAGGTTTGCTTGTACAGAGAAATGCGGGCAGAGCTGGAGGCAGGTTCTTCCTTTAAGGGAGACCTGTGGGGATCTCTCCCGTGTGAGGCCCCTAGGAAATGGGCCTCGCCATACGGTGAGCTTGAGCCCGGACACAGATCCCCAGTTGGGGGAGTCGAGCTGAGGGAAAGCAGGAACCGAGAGAGGGACTATATGTTATTCAAAATAATCAACAGACATTACTTTATGCATATGAGGACTTGGGAGGCATTTTGTCTACTTTCAGCTTCTTATGGTTTATCATCTCATTGTGTTCATTTTGGACCCGTGTTACCTTCATTGCAAAATATCAACTTAAATATTTACACTTGGTAACTTACCTTAACTTACAGGGCGTAACTGTAACTTATTTACCATAGCTTACAGGGCATGATTGTAATTTACTTACCTTGACCTATTGGGCGTAACCTACTGGGCTTAACTTACTTACTGGGCGTAACTTGCTTACTGTAACTTAAGTACGTTAATCTGGCATAAACAACTTTAACTTCAGAAAAGTATAAAATGAAACACATTGCAAAAATAAAATTGCTGCATGAGCATAGCGCATGTAGCCCTCCAGACCTTGCCTTTTCTATCTCCTTTTTTCCGACATGCGCTCTCTTCCAGGTTTGGGACCCTCACGCTGGAGGAGATTCCCGGGCTCGCGTTCAGTTCACAACATTCCTTCACTGTTCTCTTCCTCCTCTAGTAGCCTGCTGCCAGGGAAGACTGTGGCCCACCGGACCTCTGCTGCTCCCAGCCCCTCCTTAGAGTCACAGTGCACAGTAGAGGCTCTCTGCTAAGCTACAGCCTCCTGCTCCTTCTTTATTAACCTTCTCCAGGCTCCCTCTGCCCCCCTACTCTTATTTCCCCCTCATTCAAATTTTCTTTTTGTTATGTTGTATATACAGAGTGTCCTTTGGTATGCAAATCTATCGGGTTTGAGCTTGGTGTGAAGAGTGCCACGATCTGGGGAGCTGGATTCATCCAAAAATATATCCACATCCATTTGGATGATGTGTTTGGGGGCTAGAGTCTGGGGAATGAGAAGTGCTGGGCCTGTCTTTGCTGCTCTCGGTCCTGCCCTTCTGAGCCGCTGGACAGTGTCACTTGGGAAGAGGCTCGGCCCGCAGGAGTGACAGGAACCTCCTGGGGTGCACTCGGGATTTGGGCTCCTCACAGGCTGTTAGGGGCCAACTGCGAACAAACCTGCAGTGTTGTCCCACTGGCTTTTGCTGAGTCAGATCTCATTCCAGTCTTGGGTCACCGGCTTTTGCACAGTCTGTCCCCATTCAAATTTGCCTCATTTGATTCAGCTCAGCATTTCAGCTTGGCAGGGCCTTCAGGGATCTTTGCTCCTTTCTTGGCTTGGGATTCTCTGCATGTTTAACAAGTTTCCTTCTGAAGCCATCTTTTCAAGGCATAAAGTTGCCAAAGAATGAGGGTCCGTAGCTGGGAGCCTCGGTCCATCCACCTGACAGGCTGCAATGTGCAGCCTCTGTGCCGTGCCGGGTGTGCTGAGAGACACCTCCCGGGAAGGAGCCCTCCGCTATGCGTCCTAGCAGTACTGGCCATGTGAACATTTCAATACTGCCTGCTGTGGCTGTTTTTAACCTCCGGGTCTGCGTCTGATGAGCAACTGCTGAGAGGAGAGGGAGTTGTGCCGTCTGTGCTCCCACAGATTCAGTTGGCACTTGACTGCCAGTGCCCTCCTGGACGTCAGCAGTGACTCCTCTCCACGGCTTTCCTGTACTTCAGACGATGGAAGGGCCATGGCTGACATCTATTGAGGTGTATTGTATACCAGGCACTGTTGTAACAGTCCTAACAAGCCCCCAAAGCAGGTAGTACCCCATCCAGCAGGCGGGACCACTGAGGCACTGGGTCTTCCAGCATTTTTCCAGCTGTCAGGGTCCGGGCTTGGTACAGGCAGCCTAGTCTTTTTTATTTTTTTGTGAGACGGAGTTTCGCTCTTGTTACCCAGGCTGGAGTACAATTGGCGCGATCTCGGCTCACCGCAACCTCCGCCTCCTGGGTTCAAGCAATTCTCCTGCCTCAGCCTCCTGAGTAGCTGGGATTACAGGCACGGGCCACCATGCCC